GGGGCGGCTTACAACATAGATAAAACAAGTTAAAATCCATATAAAATAATCTTAATTAAAACACACATTATAAAATAAGCCGCCCTGGCCAGATAAAATTCAATTATATTTAGCATTTAAAATGTTGCTTAAATAAAAAGGTCTTAGCCTGGCGCCGAAAAACAAATAACGACGGCGCCAGGCGGACCTCTCTGGGGAGCGCATTCCATAAGTTAGGCGCCACCGCTGAGAAAGCCCTTCTCCGAGTAGCCACCCTCCTAATTTCTCTCACAGAGGGCTCCCGGAGAAGGGCCTCTCCCACCGATCTCAGGGGGCGACTGGGCAAATATGGATGTAAGCGCTCCTTCAGGTAACCAGGACCCAAGCCGTTTAGGGCTTTATAGGTCATTACCAACACCTTGAATTTGTTGCATTTGACTGAAACAGGAAATTATGGTATATAATTACATGCATGAGCTTTGGTCTTGTAACTCCCCACTTCCTTTTTCCCTCCCACTGTGGCCACAGGAAGGAGATTAGGAGCATTCACTTGCAGTTTATCTGCTCGCAGCCCCATCCACCATGGTATTCTCCTGCACTGTCTCTTTGGGACATGGGATGGGGTTGTGTTGCTGCAAAGCCTCCAGTGGATCTGGTCATTTCTGGATGGTAGAAGCCAGAATGATGTTTTGGGATTTCTCTGGCCTTTGTGTTGCCTCAAGGTTCCGTCCTGTCTACCATGCTTTTCAACATGTACATGGTATCACTGGGGAAAGTCATCTGTGCTGTTCCACCCTCTTTTCCATGTTCTATTTCAGAGGGGTTGGTGGAAGCCTAAAGAGGTTTGGAGGCATTTTTAGGATTTAATTCAGGATAGACATGTTGAAACATACCCCAAAGAAATGTGTGAATCAAGAAATTCGCTGATCCTAACAGAGGTGTACTACTCCTCCTAAATGGGGTCACACTGCCCTTAAATGGCAAGGCACATTTAAGGCACTGAACTCAGAGTTATCTATGGAGTGACATGTGGCATTAGAGACTAGGAGAGGTTTGTGTTTTTAATCAGCTCTATCTGAATCGCCTTCAGTGGGCATAATCATTGAAGGTTGATCTTGCCCTAGTGACACATGCTTTCCTTCTATACAAGCTTCAGGTCAGTCTTCATGAGTAAAATATGGTCCAGTAACTTCCAGTCTTACAGAATGTACTAATCAGAATGCTTGTAGAACTAGATTAAATTGCATCTAGTGCATGAATTACAATGGTTCCCTGTTTCTTTCTCGGCCCAATTTAAGATGCTGTATTGGCCTTTAAAATACATAATGGCAGGGAAGGCTGGTGTTCAGTCTGAGTGGTAGGGTGGAGGGCAGGTTGGGAGACATAGGGTTGTGAAAAGTCAGAACAAGGGATCACAAGAGATGGAGCCATTTTGAATCCCCAACAGTAATCAGTGCTTACTACAGAATGAGAAGACAGTCCTACTCAAATGCAATAAATAAATAAAAGCAGTACAGTACAATAATTTATATTATTCTCATAAGAATTATAGATGACAATGCTCAAAATAAAGGGTCATCCCTTGGGAAAGGCCAAGCAGTAGTAACGATGATGTACATCCCTTGGGAAGCCAGCGGGAAACCTTTGCAAAAAATGCACCTTCCCCCCTGTACATTGCTGTGATAGCAATGATCATGATAATAATTAAAATGGCTTGGTGTTCCCAGAGACACACAGAAGAGCAGACTGTGAAGCACATGCACAGACATTCAAACCCCACACCATAAGCACAATTTACACATACCCAGGGCAAAACAATAGTCCATGGTGAGTTTACATACATACCCACATATACATATTCTTACAAAAATCCTTCAAAGGTTAAAGAGCAGCCTATCCCTGGATCTGGAACTGCAGCTGCTCCCTCTCTTCTCCGTTCCTCTGAAAAAGGCAGGCAGGTAGGATCACTCACCCTATTCCTTTCAGAGGGAATGTTTTGCTTCTTACTGGCCAGTTTAGACTGAACTATTTTTTTTCCAGCACTTCCCCTCCAAAGATTGGTGCTAACGCTGCCTGGACTCTGAAGGCTTTTTGCTCCAGGTGAAGGCTCTGGAGTGCCAGGAAGACTTTGTACATGTGGGGGAGTTCACACATGCCCAGTTATGAATCTGAAGCTGCTGTCTTGCCAGAAGGGGAACCTGAACTAGTGCAGCAGCTGCAAGCTGCTTTAAACAAACTATGGTTGGTGAAGGCAAAAGGGGAAAGCAATGTAGGGGAAAGCAATGAAGAAACAGTGCCTAGAGTGCACAAGGAGCCACTGCTGCTTAATGGTCTGGGACCATCGGGGCCACCTGCAACTTTCTGAAGCCTTTCTGATTGGCAGCTCAGATCCTGCTCTTTGGTTTAGCAGAGAAGAGAATGAGTATCAATGTCAGGCCATGTCTGTGTTAGCTTATGACTATGGAGTACCCTCACTGGGGAAATACACATAGGCATGTTCTCATTGACCTATAGAAGAAATATAATTATATTATTTCATTGGCCTATAGGAGAAATATAATTATTCCACTTTACTGTTTGGGCGTACAGCTCCTATCAGGTCTTGCCATCGTAGCCAGTGATAAGGGATTGTGGGAAATGTAGGGCAAAACATCTTCGATTTCCCCACTTTTCCTTTTCCATTAATTTCAAGCATCTTCCAATATTACATGGATATGGTTGTATCACATCTCTTTCAGTCAAGGTATATATTTGAGGATGAGGAACAAGTTTGGCAGCAGATCTAAGTCTGGGAATCAGAGATTCAAGTAAACAGCTGCAACATGGCAGGATAGAAGGGAACAATTTGCATCAGAGAAATAGTGGGTGGGAAGGGCATGTTTAATCTTTTCCCTGCCTGCTGCTTGAACAGCAAAGAGCAGCTTTCAAAATCTCACATGGCCCTTTTATTTTCATTGTCAGGTATACAATAATTGTTATGACTGATACTCCTACCTCTTGAATACTCAGACATTTGAAAGTCATTGTTACCTTGAGGTCTTTTTATTTTTTATCAGACTTTTTCCTATGTCGTAACTTATTTGGTTGGTTTTCTCTTTGGAAGATGAAGACTCTTTTAATGGCATGTGATTAGATGATTTCCTAAGTCATATGCTAATGAAAGATTGATGAAAAACAGAGGCCTGCTGATGAAAGTTTAATCTAAGGGTATGACTGCTAGTGTACCTCAGGCAGAAAAGCCTTCTGTGAAATTAATAATTCTCTTAGCACATGCTATACCATTATCTTGAACGCTAGAATTAGCATCTTTTTAATATAGCAGCATAGCAAGAATATACTTCATGACTTACTGAAGTGTTTTGCTGACTTAAACTGTAAAACTTGATTTTTCTTAATTCTGCCATAAAGACACTGGCATGTTTCACAGAATCAAAATAAGCCACTATAGTGTGTTTCAGTATGGTGATTTATTTAAATTGTGGCACCTTCAGGATGGAATTTGCATAATCACCTCTTGGGTGCAGCTTGTTGCATTGCCTGAACCTGGATGGCAAGTCATGTTGTAGGGGAAAACAACACTCCAGTAGCCCTATAACAAGCCATGGAAGTTTACAGGCATAGATGTATACTTCAATTGATTGCAATTAATAAGCATTCAATTAATGCTTATTAAATATCCCACTTCCTCACATTTTCTTTTCTGCTTCTCTATATACAGGATAATAATTCAGAAGTTAAAAGTAGGGAGTGGATATTAGTTAAGAAATGATTGAGAATTTTCCTGACTGAGCTAAGATCCCCACTACATGCTCCATTTTTCTCTTCTGGGCTTTGAGTATAAGTGGGAAATTTGCATTCCCCAAAATAGATGTCATGTGTGCATTAATCTGTGCACTCCTCCTTTCCCCTATCTTTTGCTTCTTGTGCATTTTAAAACTAGGTCATAGTCCACTGTAGGCTTTCCTGATTTTCTTCTTATTTTCCGGTAATACTTTTATTAAAACCAACCAAAGTTCCTAGAAAAAATATTGCCCAACTGTGGATTGGTGTTTTGTTTCTAATTTGTCATGGGCCAGCACAGCTCCCTTGTTTTTCATTGTCTTTTTTTAATTACCAAATTACATCAGTTCCCAGGTTTCTCCATATATTTGCGCTATCTTTAAGGTGGATAAAGCAAGCTGCAACCCTGAGCACGTGTACATTTACCTGGGAGTAAATCCTATTAAACACAATCATTTTTCAATAAACATGTTTAGGATTACATAGTAAATTTGATCCTGAAAATGCTTTAATCTTAATGAGAAATTTAATCCTGAATATATTTCCCCATCCACATATCTCTCTGATTCACAATTGTTTCCCTACCCCACATAATTTCCAGCACAATCTCAGTTCCCATTTCCAGCTCCAGTTCTCTGTCATCCTGTCCAGGGCTGGCTCCTGAAACATTTTGTGGCCTGAGGCAGAACAGTAAATGGCTTCCCTCTCAGAACCCCAGTGTTGGTTCATATAGCGCTTAAAGCCAGTTAAATTGTTTTGGCACCTGAAGCACAAAATCTTACAAGTACAGCTCCTCTGTCCCTGGAGTGAAAAATACAATAATAATTATACTCTAAATAATGAATAATTTGTTGCATTTAATGATGTCTCAAATCAGTTGTGTGAGACACTTGCCAAAGGCTCTGTGTTTGTGTCTTTAAAGAACCATGTCTCCTAAGGACACTCATATTTG